AGATAACAAGGTGTAGAGCTGGATGAACACAGCAGGCCAAGCAGCAGGAAGGCTGACGTTTCAGGCCTAGACCCTTCATCGCGTCTAGGCCCAAAACGTCAGCCTTCCTGCTCCTATGATGCCGCTTGGCCTGCTGTGTTCATCCAGCTCTACACCTTGTTGTCTCAGATTCTCCAGCATCTGCAGTTCCTACTATCTCTGAAACATGAAATCCTGACTCTTGTACTCAATTCCCTGACCAATAAAGGCAAGCATGCCATCTGATTTGTAAGTTTGCTGATGACACAAAGGTTGGTGGAATTGCAGATAGCGATGAGGACCGTCAAAAGGATACAGCTGGATATAGATCACTTGGTGACTTGGGCAAAGGGATGGCAGATGGAGTTTAATCCGGAAAAACGTGAGGTAATGCATTTTGGAAGGTCTAATCCAGATGGAAAACGTACAGTAAAAGACAGAACCCTTAACAGTACTGATAGGCAGAGGGATCTGGGTGTACAGGTACTCAGGTCACTGAAAGTGGCAATGCAGGTGGAAAAGGTAGTCAACAAGGCATACAGCATGTTGCTTTCATCGGCCAGGGCACTGAAGTTAAAAATTGGCAGGTAATGTTGTAGCTTCATAGAACCTTAGTTAGGCCGCATTTGGAATATGGTGTTCAATTCTGGTCGCCACACTACCAGAAGGATGTGGTGGTTTTGAAGCGGGTACAGAAAAGATTTACCAGGATGTTGCCTGGTATGGAGGGCATTAGCTATGAGGACAGGTTGGAGAAACTTGGGTTGTTCTCACAGGAACGACAGAGGTTGAGGGGCGACCTGATAGAGGTCGACAAGATTATGAAGGGTGTGGACAGAGTGGACAGTCAGAAGCTTTTTCCCCAGGGCGGAAGAGTCAGTTACCAGGGATCATGGGTTTAAGGTGCAAGGGGCAAGGTTTGAAGGTGATGTACAAGGCAAGTTGTGTTTTTTTTTAAATAAACACAGAGGGTGGTGGGTGCCTGGAACACGCTGCCGGGGGAGGTAGTGGAAGCAGATACTATAGTGACGTTTAAAAGGCGTCTTGCCAAATACATGAATAGGATGGAAAGGGAGGGATCCTGAAAGGGTAGGAGGTCTTAGTCGCAATGGGCAGCATGTCAGAGCAGGCTTGGAGGGCCGAAGGACCTGTTCCTGTACTGTAATTTTCTTTTTTTTGTTCTTTGTTATCTTTATCACCCTATCTACTAGGGTGGCCACTTTCAGGGAGCTATGGGCTTGAACCCCAAGATCCTTCTGGCCATCAATACTGCTCAGAGTTCTGCCATTAACTGTATACATGTCCTTAACATTTGATCTCCCAAAATGCAGCACCTCAAACTTACCCAGATTAAACTCCATCTGCCATTTCTCCGCCCATATCTGCAACTGATCTATATCCCACTGTATCGTTTGACAACCTTCTACACTATCCACAACTCCATCGATCTTTGTACCATCTGCACAACTACAACCCACCCATTTACATTTTCATCCAAGTCATTTATATATATCACAAACAGCAGAGGTCTCAGTACGGATCCCTGCAAAACACCACTTGTCACAGACCTCCAGCCTGAAAAGCACCCTTCCACCACTACTCACTGTCTTCCATGGGCAAGCCAATTCTGATTCCAAATGGCCAATCACAGTGGATGCCACGCATCTTAATCTTCTGGATGAGCCTACCTTGAGGGACCTTGTCAAAAGCCTTACTAAAATTCATGTAAACAACATCCACTGCTCTACCCTCATCGATCATCTTCACCTCCTGAAAATATTCAATCAAGTTAGTAAGACATGACCTGCGCTGCACAAAGCCATGCTGACTGTCCCTGATTAGGCCGTGCTTTTCCAAATGTGCGTGAATCCTCCGGTTTCCTCCCACAGTCCAAAGATGTGCAGGTTAGGTGGATTGGCCGTGCTAAATTGCCCATAGTGTTCAGGGAAGTGTAGATTAGGTGGGTTATAGGGGGATGGGTCTGGGTGGGATGCTCTGAGGTTCGGTGTGGACTTGTTGGGCCAAAAAGGGCCTGTTTCCACACTGTAGGGATTCTATGATTCTATGAATAGCTTCCAAACCAATGAGAGATTCACTGGTCTATAGTTTCCCGGAGTATCCCCATTTCCCTTCTTGAACATTAGCTACCTGCCAGTCGTCCAGAACCTCTCCAGTGGCTAGACAGGATATAAAGATTTTGGTCAAGGCCCCAGCAATCTCCTCTTGCCTCTGTCAATAACCTGGGGTAAATACCATTGAGCCCTGGGGACTTATCCACCTTAACACTCTTCAAGAGATCTATCACCACTTCCTTCTTGATTTCAAAATGCCGTCGCTTTTTAACTACGCTCCACACAAATCTGACTATCCTCCAGAGAGATAGCAGAAACTGCCGATGCTGGATTTTGAGATAACAAGGTGTGGAGCTGGAGGAACACAGCAGGCCAGGTAGCATCAGCGGAGCAGGAAAGCTGATGTTTTGGGTCTGGACCTTTCTTCAGAAATGGGGGAGGGGAAGGGGGCTCTGAAATAAATGGGGGGGGCACGGTGATAGAAGGTGGATCGTGGAGCAGATAGGTGGGAAAGAGGACGGACAGGTCAAGGAGGCAGAGATGAAGCTAGTAAAAGGTGAGTGTAGGTAGGAAGTTGGAATGGGGGTTGGTCAGCGAGGAGGGAGCGGCGGATAGGTGGGAGAGAAGACAGACATGTCAAAGAGGCATGGATGAAAGAGGGTGCTGGGTCTTGGGATGAGGTCGGGGTGGGGAGATTTTGAAGCTAGTAAAGTCCACATTGAGACCATTGGGTTGTAGGGTTCCAAGGTGGAATAGGAGGTGCTGTTCCTCCAGTTTCCAGGTGGCATCATTACGACACTGGAGGCAGCCCAGGATTGCCATATTGTCCAGGGAGTGGGCCCAGTTGCAAACCACTTCAACTCTCCCTCCCACTCCCTGGACCTCCTCCAGTGTCACAACAATGCCACCCGGAAACTGGAGGAACAGCACCTCATATTCCGCCCGAGAACCCTGCAACCCAATGGTCTCAATGTGGACTTTACTAGCTTCAAAATCTCCCCACCCCCGACCTCATCTCAAGACCAGCAGCACCCCCCATCCCCGCCTCCTTGACCCGTCCATCTTCTCTCCCAACTACCTGCTCCACTATCCACCTTCTATCACCACGCCCCCACCTCTATTTCAGAGCCTCCTTCCCCTCCCCCATTTCTGAAGAAAGGTCCAGACCTGAAACGTCAGCTTTCCTGGCTATCCTCCATATCCTTCTTATGGATGAATACAAATGCAAAGTATTAATTTACGATCTCACTCGTGTTCTCTGCCTCCAAGCACAAGTTCCCTCCTTTATCCCCAAGTGGTCAAACCTTCTTGCTTGTTATCCTCTTGTTTTTAATGTATGTACAGAATGCTTTGGGATTCTGTTTAACCCTACCTGATGGCAGTCTCCTGCTTCTTCCCCTAACCCTGCACATGATTGTTTCTATTTAAAAATCTAAAACCTTCCTGAATGCCTCAATTGAACCTGCCTCCACCACCCTTCCTGGAAATGCATTCTGGACCATTCACTGTTTGAAAAGTTCTTCTCACTTCGCATTTGCTTTTTTTGGCAAAAACACTAAATCTTTGCCCTCTGGCTCTCAATTCCCTTAAAAGCAGGAGCAGTTTCTCTCCATCTGCTACTCTATCCAGACCCCTCATGATTTTGAAAACTTTGCTCAGGTCTTGTCATGGTTTCCTCCTCTTGAAGGAAAACAGTCCCAACTTCTGCAATCAATCCTCATAATTGAAGTTTCTCATCCTTGGAATCATTCTTATAAACTTGTACTGCATTCTCTCCAATACATTTGTTCCCTTCCTAAAGTGTGAGATCTAGAACTGTACACAATACACCAGCAAAGTTATAACTAGTGGCCTATACAAGTTCAGCATGAACTTCCCCACTCTTAGATCCTATGTCCCAGTGAATGAAACCTAGAATATTGCATATTTTATTAACAGCTCACTAACTATCCTGCCACCTTTAATGCCACATACATACACACCCAATTTGCTCTGATCCTGCACACAGTTTAGAATATCTCGGAGATAGCAAGAACTGCAGATGTTGGAGTCAGAGACAACACATTGTGAAGCTGGAGGAACACAGCAGACCAGGCAGCAGAGGAGTAGGAAACTTGATGTTTCGGGTCAGGACCCTTCTTCAGGGATGGGGAAGGGGAAGGGCCATCTTCTTCCCCACCTATCCGCCCTACCCTTCCCGCCAACCAATGCCCACTACCCCCTACCTGCATCCAATCTATCACCACACCACCTACCTTTACCCAGCTCCACCCATCCTCCCTCTGCCTCCTTGACCCAACACAACCTGTCCATCTTCTCTCCCAACTATCCACCCCACCCCATCCCACTGATCAATCCCCACCACTCCCTACATGCATTCACCTATCACCATTCCACCTACCTTTCCCCAACCCCATCCCTCCTCTCACCATTTATTTCGTAGCTCCCTTCCCCTTTTCCATTTCTGAAGGGTCCCAGCCTGAAACGTCAACTTTCCTGCTCCTTTGATACTGCCTGGCTTGCTGTTCCTCCAGCTCCACACTGTTGTCAGCATTCAGAATAGTACCTTTTATTATCTCTCCCATGATGATATATTTGGGTACAAATAACAAGAAATCTGAATCACATAAGCCTTATATTCAGGTAGAAATACCACTCGGCTACCCTTTAGATCTCAGACTCCATCCTACCTTGGAATTGAATAGTTATAACATTAAACTGTTATTTACAAAACCTGACATTTATAACATCTCCCTCTGAGACTTGGTAACCGAGTCTATTCAGAGTCAGTACAGATACTGTTGCCATTGTTGGTGAAAGTAAATACCTTGAACCTTTTTAGCAAGTCTCTTGACTTTGGCCTTCTTTATCACCATAGCAATGAAGCTGATCAGCTTTGGTGTCAGGCAGAATTCAGAGTAGGTCACATGGCTCCGTGCATTTTCCCATTTTACTTAAGTACAAAATCTTAAACTTTGTTTCTGAAGCATGCTAAACAACAAAACATTCAATCATTTATAAGGCTTGGATTATTTCAATGGATAGCTTTGTCTGCAGGCTAATGGTACAATTAAGAACCTTCACCTTCTTGTGAGGACTACAAGATACAGAAAGTTCCACTCATAAGGACTTGACTAGCACTCCATTTTGATACAAGCCACACTAAAAGAAATGGAACTTAATAAATAAAAACAATTTTGCAATTTACGTCATATATGGGTTATTCTATAAAGATGAACATTCTTGATCAAATAGGGTGATCTCCTAGAAATTAAGAGCACAATATCATATTCCCCATTCTTCACAAGATCTGTGGGCAACTCAATCATGAGATGCAGGTTTTCCCAACAACCCAGCAATCAATATGAACCACATAGGTGGGAAATGGAAAGCTGTTCAATGGGTTACCAGCTTAAACCTCACTAAAGCACATTGTAAGGGTCTGTCCTAATGCATCTTTTAGGTGATAGCAGCAAACATAATTAGCTCATGCCTATGCTGTATCTAAGCTCAGATTCTCTCACATGCCAAGAACAAATAAAATCTCATCAGGAACAGCAGCCATCATTCCAATATAGCAATTCAATAGCATTGAGCTAGCAACTGCTTAAAGAACACAATTCAAAAAACTTTTCAACAGGAAATGGCAGGAAGCCAAGATCCATCAGATCTTTATTTCTCAAATAATGGTTCACGTCATTTTCTTCACTTCCTTCTCCCATTGCTATGCGCCTGGCCTACAGAATTCACTCTCCAAACACTTTCATAATTTACCTGCTGGCCTAACTTTCAAAATGATCCCTGAAGAACTTTTTTTAAAATCAAATTTGCCCCTCCTATCCTACATGTGTGCCCATGTGCCTCTCTCTCTCTCTCTCTCTCTCTCTCTCAATAGGGAGATACATAGCATTAAACACTATTTATATTTTTTAATTCCAAGTAGGGTTAAGTAATGCAGCTTTTTTTCTTAATGATACTTTTAATAACAAATTTTCTTAAACTAATCCGACCCAGAAAGGTAAAGAACTTCTGTTTTAGGATCGAGTTTTCTTGACTTGTGGCAAGAAGGCTTCAACTTGTCCATATAGATCACAGACATTGGCTAATCATGCATGGTCGGATCTTTAACTAAGTCAGGAGTTGATTTCCATCATGTAGTCTCACATCTGCTAAGGAATGACATATTTAGTTACACTTAAATCCCAGAACTCTGGTTTGCTGAAGATTTCTTCGCCTTCCCTATTTTGTAAGCCACGTGCTGCTTTCAATAACATCAGCAGTATGAACAATGAACACAAACTCCTGAACGTATCAAAGAGCCTTTGTTTAAATGAATAAAGAAAGAAGTGCAATCTTTCCCTATTCATCAAATTTGTTGCACCTCCTCAGTATTGAGCTCTTTTTAACCTCACATGGGATCACCTCTCATAACCGAAGTAGAAACATGGGTAGTCTTTACTTCCCTAATTCTCCTCCACACCTCATTTTGTAGTGGGAGAGAAAGCGAGAAATTATCCAAAGTTTGTGCATCTTGTTAGTAAGAACGCAACAAAATATTTGGATCAAATGTACTATTTTTACATCAAGTATAAAATTCATCATGTGGGTGACCAGAAGAATAGGTGGGGCATATATTGGCTCTGATACCAATACAATTACATCCCAGAAATATTTAGAAAAGGGGATGGGGCAAAGGTGAGCAAAAGATATACACACAGCTTACCTGACGCTTCTTCATTTCGAATTACTTCAATACAGAACACTGGGACTTTCTCTTTTTTACTGTCAAAGTAGAAATCCAGATATGGAATGCTTATTTTCCAGGCAGAAAGGTTACGATGAGCATTAGGAGTGATTGCCAATTCTTCAATTAAATCATCCTCAGACACAACTGTTGCTTCTTCAACCTGTAACAAATGTTAACATAAAATACCATTTTTCACAAATATGACCAGCCATTATTGAAGAGCAGGTTTCCATCTTGTGTGCTCAACATCTTGGAAAATTAAAATGCAAGATACAGGGGACAAAAGAAAGAAAGACTCCTTATCTAAAAGAACCACATTCATAGAAAGGAAATTAAAATTCTCTTTTGGAACATTTAGGCGCTTCCCCACCTATCAAACAACTAAAAAACACATGTTGTCTAATTGTATTTTCCAGACAAGTAGTGAAGAGCAAAGTTATGACTGGCTTATATCCTAGACCGAGAGCTGGGAGAGGAAAGAGAAAACAGTTATATGCATTGCTATGCTGAATTCTTTTGCTGGAAAGTGTTCAATAACATGGTCATGCTCCAAGTGTGAAGCCTTCCACTGTCAAATTGCAAGCCAAACACATTTGCATGGGTGCATCAAGGCAAAGTGGCTAATTAGGGAAGATGGCTGGGTAGTGCCCTTGGACTCATACCCCTACAGTGTAAATATCTTTAGGAAAAGAAAATTGCGAAAGGAAATAAAGCACAAGAACATGAACTTATTACAAATCCCAACAGCAGAATTAGATTAGTTGCTTAACTAAAAACAGCAAGTTTTGACAAAGCTATAACTGTCACAAACTAAACTGTACAGAACTCTACACAGACAATGTCAAACTGGAATGAGCATTCGGGAGGCTGCCAAAGATTATACAAAATTGACTGTTTATGATATGCTTAAATACAGAAGGATCACCAAACTTAGCAGCTTTACACCATTTGAAAATACTAAACCATGCAAATATATTGAAATCATTTAACCTGTGTCAAAATCATAGAACGATGGAGCACAAGAAATTATTTCGTTGGTTACGCATATGCCTGTTGTTTGATGGAACTATATCATCAACTCATCCTATTTATCTTTCCCCAATGCCCACATCTCATTCCTTCCAACATTTAAGCTATTTATTTTTGAAAGTTAATTAATTTACTGCTAAATCCATTTCAAGCACTGTATTCAAGATTACAACTTGATGCACAAGAAAGCAACTCATATCACGCCTTGTTCTTTTATCATTAAATTTGTGCGCTCTGGTCATTGGCTCCGCTGCCACTGCAAACTGTATATTCTCATTTACTGTATATAAGTTATTCATTATTGCAAACACCTCTATCAAATTTCCTCTTTGCCTTCGTTGATTTAACAAGAACTCCAACTCATCTTGTACATTTCTTCTACATTCTCACAAAGGCTGCAATCTGAAAATCTACCAAGGATGGTGGACAAATTAGTAACGAAAAATTAGAGATCAACCCTAACAAACAAAGCGATCACTTCTTCAGCCACAGAATCATCTTGAATATTCAGATGCTTCAGGATCAGACATCTGACTAGACAAAACAGCAGCTAGTTTACTAGGGAGCCTAAAGGCTTTCAGTAAACACATCGCCATCTGCACAGTCCCTCAATTCAATGATGTCTACTGAGGGTCAGGAGTCTTCATGTGATGAAACATATGAACAGTATGATAGTCAAAACAGTAGCATCTACTGGTGACTAAGAAAACTTTCTTTTTAAGGCTATGATGTTGGATGAATATTTAGCATCTCTCATTGGGGAAGATGCTGTCAAAGTAGAAACTGCAAGTGGCAAAGCTCCATAGGATCAAAACAAATAAAAAGGCTTTGCAGTATTTAAAGTAGAAGTCATAGTGCAAAATCAATACATCAAAAGGTTGGTGAGGGATGCATGGGTGAAAATTGCACAGGCTTTGGCTAATATCTTCCAGTCCTTCATAATAATGGGGACACTGCGAAAGGACTAAAAGGAACACCCTGTTCAAAAATGAGGACAAACCCAATAACTACAGGCCAGTAAGCCTCACGTGAGGAACCTTTAAAAAGCATAATTAATTGGCACTTAGAAAATGCTGTTTACTAAATAATGTTGTTAAGTTTCAACATTCCATGGTAAACCAGGACACAATACTAACCATGAAAATGGTGCAATTAATCTACTTTAAACAATAGTGAAAAGAAAATCAACACAGATTTGAGGATGACAAACCATGCATGGCTAAACAGATCTCTGAAGAAGGGTGGATTACTGAGATTATCTTTGATGTTGTGTACCTGGACTTTCAAAGGAACATCTGTAAGTGCCACGTAACAGACTTATTGGCAAAATTAAAGTGCACCAGCTTAAAAGGAAGAGTAAGAGCACTAACAAGATTGGCTAAAATTCAGAAAACAGATGGCAGTGGTTAACTAAAAAATCACAACTAAAAGAACTGCGGATGCTGTAAATTGGGCACAAAAACAAAAAGTTTCGGGAAAAGCTCAGCAGGTTTGGCAGCATCTGTGAAGGAAAAACAGAGTTAATGTTTCGGATTTGGTTCTGAGGAAGGGTCACCAGACCCGAAACATTAACTGTTTTTTCCTTCACAGGTGCTGCCAAACCTGCTGAGCTTTTATAGCAACTTTAGTTAACCACTGCCACAAAAGTAATGTTTTTCAGACTGTAGACAGTACAAAGATGTGGTTGTCAGGGGTGGGTACACAGACAACTTCTCTCAATTTGTGTGGAGGTCAAGGATTATTTGCAGGTGACAAAAATGGAGAAGTGGAAAATAGTAAGTTTTCAGGAGGATGAAAGAAAAAAAAAACTGATGCTGGAAACTTGAAATAAAAACAAACTACCAGGAACATTGAATAGATTGGGCAGCATCTGAGGAGAAAGTGATAACTTGTAGTTGGACTTTTCCCAGTTCAGACTTTAGGACAATATGCAAAAACTAGTCGAAGAGACACACAATTGCACATTTGAAATTTAACAGGGAGTTATGAATTGAAATGCAATCAAAGCAGGGTGGAAGCAAATTCACAGAAGAAGCTTGACATCCAGTGAAGTATATTATATGGTATATGGTATGAAATGCGCCAGCCAATGCATACCCAACTGACTCTTACAAATCAGTAATATAAAAACAACCAGATAAGTGTTTTTTGAAATGTTGAAGAGGAGAAAAATATCAGCCAGAACACTGCAATTAATTAATAAGATGCAAGGGAGTTTTCACATTCACCCAATAGTTTACTGGGCCTTGGCTTAAAGTCTCATTCAACAGTATAGCATCCCTCAGTACTCACTGGAACATATATCTTAATCTGTGCTCCAGTATTAGAATGGGATATTAATCCTTGGACTCGAACACAGATGAAACTGAGTCACATCTGATAGAGAGGGTGGGAGGAGTCAAAGAAAGGCAGGAGGGATGATGGCAAAATTTAAGATAGTAGAAAAAAATTTACTAAATAATTAGCAAAACCTAATTATTCCCAGTCTTGAAGTCCTATTTAGCCCTGAGCTACTTTCAAATCAGTGCCCTCGCCATCACAGACTCTTTACTTCAACCTCTAATGTGGGCTGTTAGCTGCTCCTGTCTCAGATTGTATGTTGTTGCAACCCTCATCTGGTCTCAACGCTACCTTAAACTTTGTCCTCACCCTCCTGCCTTTCTGACTCCTCCCACTCCCTGTCAGATGTGACTCAGCATCATCTGTGTTCCAGTCCAAGGACTGATATCCCATCCAACACTGGAACACAAGTTAAAATACATGCTCCAGGGAGGGATGCTGTACCATTGAATGAGACTTTAAACCAAGGTCCATTAAACTACTGGCTGAATGCGAAAACTGCCCTGTACTTTTTAATTAATTGCAGTGTTCTGGCTGATATTTTTCTCTTCATCAACATCTCAAAAAACACTTATCTGGTTGTTTTTATATTACTGATTGTAAGAGTCAGTTGAGTACACATTGGCTGGCGCATTTCATACCATATAACATACTTCACTGGATGTCAAGTTTCTTCTGTGACTTTGCTTCCACCCCACTGACTGCATTTCAATTCATAACTCCCTGTTAAATTTCAAATGTGCGATGTGTGTCTATTTGACTAGTTTTTGCATATCGTTCCAAAATCTGAACTGAGAAAAGTCAAACTACAAGTTATCACTTTCTCCTCAGATGCTGCCCAATCTATTGGGTGTTTCTAGTAGCTTCTGTTTTAACTTCAAGATTCCAGCGTCAGCAGTTTTGTTTTCTTTCATCCTCCTGAAAACTTATTATTCTCCACTTCTCCGTGTTTTGTCACCTGCAAACAAATCCATGTCCTCAATACTTATTAAGAAGCAAAGTTGCCTGTGTACCCACCCTAACAATCACACTTTGGTACTGTCTACAGTCTGAAAAACATTAATAAACCATTGCCATATATGTTTTCTGACTTTTAGCCAATTTTGATTGTGCTCCCACTCTTCCTTTAAGCTGATGCACTTTAATTTTGCTAATAAGTCTGTTATGGGGCACTTACAGATGCCATGAAGGGAAGGGATTGGGGCTGACTGAATTGTTCTACAAAGCTGGCATGGATTCGATGTGTTGAATAGCTTCTCACTGTGCTGGTGATTCTGAACAAAATAGGCCTAGGCAAGAAAGGGCCCACATTGCTGGGGAACATAGAAGAGGTATGAAGGAGACTGGTATGGTCAGCTGCATCAAAAATTTGGAAAAAACAAGAGGGATGAGGTGACATAATTAAGAACATAACAATTTTGAGATGGACTTTGTCATTTAAAACATCCTGGTTACTCATTCCAGGTTACCATCCAACTCTGACTGTCAGCCAAGAATATTAGACCTTTAATTACAACCACAGATTTATCCTGGACTTCACCTCTAACCTAAAATCAGATATGAACACAATACTACTACTGTACATTACCAAGTTCCATTTGTAACAATACCAACATATGCTTAATCCAAATGAACAGACTGACAGTTTAAAAGCTACCAGTTTTTATTTAGATCATGCTTAATCAACACAGTTACCAACACAACAGCTCAATTTTACTCACAAGATCATCTCCTCCTGCTGGTAATCCATAGTTAGGCAACATAGCCCCTTCCATCGTTGTGCTTTTAAAGACTCCTTTGAGCTTGCTGCCTATTCGACTAATTCCAAAAGATTCTCCACGTTTATTGGAGCCCCTAAATAACAGCAGACAAATTAGTAAGTCCTTTAAATGTTAAGCAAACGACTGAGTAAATGTGGAACATGCAGTGCAAGGAATGTCAGCTCATGCAATGGCCAGATACAAAGAGCAGCTCTGATTTGTTGATGGCAAGTCTTTTGAGGAAGACAAAAATCGGGGCTACAATTTACCAGCTTGGTGAATTTGGATATACTTTTTCCTATGCATTTTATTACAGATCTAATGGCATAATATAGCAAAATCAAACAGTGAAGAGCGAAAATAGGCATATTAATTCAACAACCTTCAAATGTTATAAAATTGATGAAAAGATACTGAATGCTTTTGAAAGTAACGTAGAATCTGAATATTTGAGAGTATCCATTGAAATAGTTCAACATTGCCAAATCAACTTTCATGCTCATATAGCCCACATTAACATTAGAACCTGATGGATGTGCTTACATTTAAAAATGGCTACTGTATTGCTGGAAAGCAACTCCTTAGCCATTTATAAAATTCTAACTGCATCCATAATCCACATACTCCAAGACCTGTAGTATTACAACTTCGTTCCCACAAGTTAGCAGACATCTGGATAGATTGGCAGATTTTATACTCAACACAATGAGCAAAAAAACTCAATCAACTACTAAATTAATTAACTGTTGCCAGTTATATTTGAAAGGATTAGGCAAAGATGAAGGACTGTAAATGATGCAACATATTCACTCTTCTAGTTGGTTCAATCTAGTTCTCAGCCAGAAGGGGAAAAGTTATCCTAAATTATCTCAATATTACTTGGCAAGCTCAAAAACGCCTACCCTTTAATTATTTTCCACAGGTGAATATTTGGAAGAAATTTGCAATAATTCGAATGATACCAATAAATTTGAAAATTGCAAAATGAACCTCACGGCTCCAGGGACCCAGTATCGATACACAGTCACCCAAGGCTGGACAAGTTTGCACGTTCTCCCCATGTCTGTGTGGGTTTCTGCCAGATACTCTGGTTTTCTCCCATAGTCCAAAGATGTTAGGATAACTGGCCATGCTAAATTGCCCCGTAACGTCCAGGCATGTGTAGGTTGGGTGGATTAGCCATGGATAAGTGTGGGGTCACGGAGATAGGGTGGAGTGCAAAACTGGGTGGGATGTTCTTTGGAGGGTTGATTCAGATTTGAAGGGCCAAATGGCTTCTATCTGCACTGTAGGGATTCTATGGTGTAATCGGATGAAGTCAAGATGCACAGGAGTTCGTAAAGTTTAACATCCTTAAAATCAAGATATTGCAATTTATGGTCAGAAGTCTTACAACACAAGGTTATAGTGCAACAGGTTTATTTGAAATCACAAGCTTTCAAAGCGCTGCTCCTTCATCCTTCACCTGATGAAGGAGCAGCACTCCGAAAGCTTGTGATTTCAAATAAAAAATAAGTTGGACTATAACCTACTATTGTGTGACTTCTGACCTTGTCCACCACAGTCCAGCACCTGCACCTCCACATCATTCTAATTTATATTCCAGGTATTTCTTAGATTTACAAACATACAATGACTTCTATAGGAGACAATATTCAGGTACATACTGTTTGTAATTACATATTATCAAAAGTGGCTAAAAGTGATTATACCAAATCTGCAAGTTACTACTTGTCTAAAACACCTTCAGACCTCATGGTTGCAACATATCATTCATCAAGTTACACATCACAGAACAAAACCAATACAACAAACTGTTTTTTAATCAGCACCTTATGAACCAACACTCAATAAATTGGCAAAAGTTATATCCCTGAAATACTGCAAGTTTACTGTACTTTTGCAACGTCTGAGCAGCCAGTTGAAGGCACAAGTGAGAAGGCTCTCTGCTGTAAGTTTTATTTAAGGCAAAGCTGCATCTTTATTTCAGAGATTTATGCTGTGAATAAAGTATAAAAGTGATGTGTATACCCCATGCATTACATTTATGTTACTTACTGCATTTTTACATTGATTATGTGAACCTCTTGATCGACTAGCACACTCCTTTTCCCATAGATGCCAGTTAATAAAAAGTTTGCTGCGGTCAAAACTAAATTCCACATAAACTACTACTCATCCACTACATGCAGTATCCAGAATTTCATCTGCGTTTAAATTATCTCTGACTGCTTAGATTATTTAACCAAACTGCACAATGCACTCAAGTAAAAGACTGACATCTAGCAATCTTTTTCTCACTAACTCTTACTGTCATTATTCGAACATTACTAGGAAACGTTCTTCTGGATTTTCGTCATGTTTGTTCTCAGGTCTAAGTACACTGCTTTCTTTGTAAATCATCGTCATCAGGAATTGCAGTCTCCTATTTGAGAACTAAGAACATAATTTAATGTAGACAGAGAAAACCTATTTCAGTTGATAGAGGAACCCAGGATTAGGGGTCATTGTTCTGGTTCTAGTTAAAAAAAAGAGAAAATAAAAAAGAGAGAGAGTGTGGAGTGAAATTATGAAATACTTACAAATGCAAAGGGTGGAAGTAGTATGGAACTCAATGCTCGATCAACTGTTGATTTGAAACCTCCGATTGATAGTTGGGTGATCCAAAAGTATCAAGGGATATTGGGGAAGTTTTTTTTGGGCGGGGTGGTGGGTGGAAAGAGCAGGTGGGTGGAGGAAGTAAAAAAAAAAAGGACCACAGAGTTTAATCTCAGAGTAACAGGTTTGCCCATTTAAGAAGTAAGACAGTGATGAGGAGGAACTTTGTCTCTCATTCAGCAGTGAACCTGTGGAATTCTTTAGCACAAAGTGCTATCAAGGCTGGGTTGTTAAGTATTTTCAAGGCTGAGATAGGCAGATGTTTAATGAGTAAGGAAATTATGGGTTGTGGGAGAAAGGCAGGAAAGTAGAGGTGAGCATTATCAGATCATCCATGATGTCACTGGAATGGCAGAGTAGGCATGATGAGCTAAATGGCCCATTTCTGCTCTATGTCTTGTGGTCTTTTTGGGGATCAGGGATGATCTCAATGAAAGGCAGAGCAGGTTCAAGGGGTTGCTCTGGTTCCATTTTGCTAGCCTTTGCTGGGTTTTCAAAGCTGTGAAACTGTCACACTCTTAATACTGAATGTTATAACCTCTCTAGAAATTTACAAAAAGTTACATCAGGGTATTTTCCAAACCATTGCACAACAAGTCCAAATGAACTTAAAGGAGCGTGGAAATGGCAAATGAAATCAATGATGAGAAATCCCTAAGCAATTTTTCAAGGCAGGCAGAGAAGCAGCAAGACAGTTGTTAAAGAATGGGGTTCCATATGGTTACTGAAAAAGTAGCCATTGAGAATGGAACACAGAAAGCAAAATGAAGAAATATTAGAGGGTTGTTGGACAAATTACTGAAGGTTCAGAAAACCAAAAGGATTGCAGGTGGTGTTGGGGGATGGAAGACAAGAGTGAAAGCGATTTAAGAATGACAAAAATCTCATGTTGACAGAAAGGAAGGAAGGAGTCAAATGAAAATGAGCAGCAAGAACAGTTCAGAAATGAGTGCTGGGAAGAGTGTGGAGCAGTCAGCATCACTGTGAAGTGGGACTGTGAAAAATGTGCAGCAAGTCAGCACTGCTGTGAAACACTCTGGGAGGAACTTTGGTATAAAGCAGCTCCTGAGGGGAATGGTGAACTTGCTATGAAGCAAAGCAAATGGTGAGCAATGAGATAGCATTGGTAGGGGATGAGTTAATACTGGTAGAGTGCATCTTTAAATAGCTTTAAATTAGGAAGCATCTAGACTAGGGTCAGATGAGTTACTTTTACATTTTTCTACCAATTAAGTTGCAGTGTATTAGCATAAATACAATAAGCTTAGGACAGTGGACTACAGTGGGAGTGTTTAAATAGAAAAAGGTTCTGTTTTGGATACTGTTTGGACTTCTCATGGAATAGCAGTGGAAGCCAGGTATATGCCATCATGGGTGGTTCTGTTCCACAAGAACAGGAGGGAGAAGAGTGGTAGCGCTATAAGGATAGGGGATTCATTAGCTAGGGGAACAGAGAGCTGTTTCTACAGCCACAAAAAGAGACACCAGGCTTGCATGTTGCCTTTGGTGCCAGCGGAAAGGATGTCCAAGAAAGCCTACAGGGTATTCTGAAGAGGGAAGGTCAACAGCCAGTAGTCACTGTACATTTTAGTATCAATGATATAGGTGAAAAAAAATGAAGTCTAACAACTTGAGTATAGGGAGTTAGAACGCAAATTTAAAAAATATGACCTCAAAAGGATTACTACCTCTGCCACATGCTAACGGATATAGAAATAACAAGATATATCAAATGGGTAATGTAGCTGAGGAAATGGTACTGAGGAAGAGATTCAGATTCCTGGGATAATTGGACCAATTCTGGGGAAGATGGGACCAGTACAAACAGGATGGATTGCATCTAGACAGAACTGGACCAATGTCCTTAGGGGGTACGTTGGCTTGTGCTGTCAGGGCAAGTTTAAACTAGAATGGGTGGCGAGAACCTGAGGAGGGAGACAGAAAAGGTGGAAATATGGTTGAAAAGATAGACATAAAAGTGAGAAGTGAGAATGGAAAGCAGAAAAATACAAGGATGATAAAAGAAAAAAGTTAGTGCAAAATAAAGCCAAGATAACTAACAAGGATAAAAAGGCTAGTCTATAGATTGTGTCTTAATGCACACAGCATTTATAATAAAAAGATAGATTAATTAATGGCACAAGTAGATGCACAAAGTTATAATTACAACTATGAAGACATGTCTGCAGGGTGACCAAGATAGGAAATGAACATCCAGAGGTATTCAATGTTTAGGAAGAACAAACCAATAGGAAAGGAGATAGGGTAGCACTGTTAGTAAAGGAGTATATTGATACAATAAGGAGGAAGGATACTGGCTCCCAAAGTCATCTGTGTAGGTGGAGATAAAAAACATCAAGGGATAAAGCATTGTTAAGGTTGTCAATACAGTGCCAAACAGTAGTGGAGACATAAGGGAAGACATCAAACAGGACA